TTACAGTATGACTTAACTTCCTGGCTTTATGTTTCAATTGTTTATAAAGCAATAATCTTGATTATTGTTTTTAGCGATAAATTATTTATTAAACTTAGTAAAAAAAATACAAAATTTATTTTAAATATTTACAATCGTTGAATAATGCAAATTTTTTTCTTTCTGTACGAAAATATATATGGTATACATTTTATAATTATTTTTGTTCGAATTTATGGTATAAATTTATATAATTTAAAATACAAAATAAATTTAATTGAGAGAGAGAGAGAGAGAGAGAGAGAGAAAGTAGAACCTAAGCTTGTCTAGGGATATTTGTGAACACACTAAATTCGTTGGTAATCATTTTTGACTAGGAAGTTGTGCTTTGATATGATGAATCTTAGAAGAATATTCTTCTCTAGTCAATATAATTGATTGCATACACGTTTGTTTTAATATTACAAAAATATAAAACTATATAGTTGATCATGCTGTAGTTGCTCAAATCTTTTTTCGAGTCACTATATAGGCGTAGCTCAGTTTTATTAAATAACATAAATACTAAATTAAATTACATAAATATTAAAAAGTAATGACGATATCTTTGTAAATTTAGAAAACTTGATAAAATAACAGTTCTTCAAATTCTTGGGATAAAATGTCATATTTGTAAAATGGCAAACTATGTCAAACAATTATATCCTCATTCTCAACTGCTAATAAACGAATGCTTTTCAGTAATTAGAAGAGTGCTTTTATAACTTGTTGTTTAAGGAAACCAATTAGAAAATAAAGCTTTACATCGACGTTTGTTTTGACAACTTTGAGCCCCTTGTTTGTTCGTTATGAAAAGTTTCATCGGAATCGTTTGAATTTTGAGAATCTAGTATAATTAAAAATGAGGATTGTTAAATTTTAATTTGATTAGTTCATTTAAAATTAATGTATACGATAGAACGAAACTCAAGTTTTGAATATATGATATTGCAATTATTCTATGAATAAAGTAACAATAAAAATGAACCACAGTGAGTTACTTCAATATTTGAACATCATCGAATATTTATTTTGCCGTACTATAATTTTTTTCAAAATGAAAAAGAATGAACATACTTAATCAGATATAATATTAAGGCACTGTGTTAAGTTAACAATAATATCAATTTAATATACATTTAATTTACATAATTTACAAAATTTGATATAACATTTCAAATGAAACAATGTTCGACTTTAATATCATTCTATCATTTAAATATTTTTCAAAATAATTAATTTTCTCGTTACTTTTTCTACTTTTAAAGTAATTTAATATTCATACCATAACTTTCTTGACCTATAACTTCCCATTAAACATTGATACATATTAAAAATTATTTTTTATCGATATTCAGATTATAATATTATTATACCATTCTAAATGAATAAACAATATAAATGCTTTGGAAAATATAATACTCGAATGATGATCAAAATATTTACTCAATTGTTTTTTACTGCGTAAATAAAAATCATATTAAATTTTTGTTCGTTTTATATAATATTCTGTATTTATTATTATTACTTTCTAAATACGTAAACAATGCAGACATTCAAGACAATAATATTATACTCTAATAATGAACAAAATCTTTACTCGATTGCCGTTTATATATACAAGATACTACGTAAACAAGAGTCAGCTTATCTGCCCAGCAACTATAGACATGTTCCTATGTTATCCGGAGTGGATATCTGTAGAGACTGTTCTGTATACTCAGGATTATTCAATTATCGTGGTACTTATTGATTATGTAATTGTAAGCTTATTATATAACTGTTTCGGTTGAAATAAAAATATTGATTTCTTACCTATTTTTTAAAATATGTACTGTTTAAATAATTTATAGAAATAATAAATAGTTATACAGGGTATTTCGAACATAATTTATGGAACCCATTTAAAGAATAAACAGGGGACACAAATTCAATGAAAAAAGTTCATATAAAAAGGTTTCTTATTTGATCTTGTTGCAAATTTATAGTCACTTCTGTGTAAAAATATAATTTACAATAGTTTATTTTTATTGAAAGTGGTTAAAATGATTATCCTTGGATTGTATATCTAAACAGTGATCTGTGTCTTTTAGAAATTTCTTGTCCTTGTTGATGTCACACGTTCTGTTAATTAAATTTAGTCATTCCAGTTTATACAGTTCAGTTTCAATACTCAGTTCTCTTATTAGAAACATTTCATTATTTTTATAGTATTAGGCTCAAAACTTTTCAACCATCCTACTGCTAGGCTCAAAACTTTTCAACCATCCTCGTGCTAGGCTCAAAACTTTTCATACCATCGACTGTGTATTTTACAATTGCGTAGAAATTTAAAAAAATCGGTCACCTGTCAACTTGTACTAGTGTAACTGCACAGGTGCTTTCCATCTGTTAATTTGACATAGGAGTTCTGCAATGAAAACGTCAAAATATATTTATGTTAAATAATAACTATTTTGAACATGCAACAATTATAGGATGTATTTAGACGAAACTGCAATCTTTTTGTAAATACTTTTAAAATATAAATATATATTTATGTACAATATTAATGAGTTTCAGGAGTATTCGTACTTCCATTGTTAATTGAAAGCAATCAATTTTTTCTTATGATAAAATATTTAAAAATTCTTACAGACAGAAACATATTTAAGAATTATTAAATTTTTAAGTTGATATAAATTTTATTAGAAAAGAGAACATTTGATTATAAGAGAAGTAAAATTGTACATACTTGATAAGAAAATTAATCTTACAAAGTATCCCTAATCGTCTCAAAAGTATTATAAGATGCAATGAAAGGCCAACCAAGTACAAAAAACTAAAATTTTATGATTATTATATAATATCTCACGTAGATACAAATATTCTTTTGTAAGAACAAATTTTTATCATTCAAATAAAATTATATTTCTCAAACAATAGATTGTTCATTTGCAATAAAATTTCTATCATTTTGAAAGTTTATGTCCAAAAGAATTTGGAAGCATTGCATTACACAAGCAAATATCAATTAATGAAAATTTCCAATGATAGCGAGTAAGAATACTCCTATGAGATACCGTATATATTTAAAATTGTGATGTGCTTCGCGTACATTATCGAAAAATATTTAAAGTACATATTCCGAATTAAATCGTATTTAAATCGTCGGATAGCCTCGGACATACATAACGAATTTAAAATCCATACATAAAAACTCTGTGAATAATTCAATAGTACAAATTTCCATCGACGTGAAAAAAACAATTTACACGTCTTTCTATATAATCGAAATTGGGCATGCTGCATGATCGGATTTTAATTTGAAGTTTATTCGTAACGCCAAAAAAATAATTTGAATATCACCCGAACGTTACTATTATAATACTTTGATTTACACACGGAAACGCGCGCGTGTATAATTTTAAATGAAAAAAAAAAAAAAAAAGAAATTTCTTTAAACGGTTAGAATTAAAATTCGTTAAGAATTTAAAAAAATTCTTAGGAATAAATTATCATCGATATAGCCAAGTTTCTTAATAGGAAGATAAGACTTAAGGGTGAGAACAAAACGAATGGAGCGTGAAAAAAATGAGTTTGGACACTGGCATGCAGCCAAGTTAAGCAATGAATCCCTTTTTCTTACACGAGAGCAATCGTTACTTTCTCGTACACACAAAATAGCGTAAACCCTCGACTGTCTGCTCGGCATTTAGTTTATACCTATACATATGTATAGCTTACGCTCGTTCGATCGATGCTACATAAATATACGGTCAACACATCCAACCCGACGCCCACGTATTGCAGTTCAACGCGTCAAACTTTCTATGAAAATGATCAAGCAGAACGAACTGCTTACTGCAGTAGACTAAACAACGTGTTTAATTCTCAAATAGGTCTAAAACGATGGTTAAAAAATTTCAGAGTGTATTTTATTATTTTTGTTTGTGAGCCCAGCGTTTCATAAGAATTGAAAATTAAGATTTTTTTTTTAAATATTAATAATAACAAAACTACGTATCTTTAATGTCATTCTTCGAAGTATTATGTGTGATTATTATTATTTGTCATAATATTTTATATTAAACAAAAATTATTTAAGATATTTATATTTAAATGTAAAAAATATTATTATCAAATTTTAGTAAAATTCTTGAAAGTTTTTGCAACATTAAGTTAATTTCTATAGAAAAGCTATTTCCACTTGCAAAACTATTACACAGATAAATATACAATTTTTATATTTATTAATTTTTCTAATAAGAAAATCAATTTCCATTGTCATAAGGTAATTAATATTTTTATTTATTCGCCATAAATAAAATTATATAATATAATAAAAATGTCTTAGTTATTATTAAAATTAAAAATTCAATTCTGAAAAAGTTTAAATTTATTAGAATCATGTGTTAGGAGTTTGATTACTAAAAACCTTGAAAATATTTAAACAGAAAAACAGGAGGGACATTGTGATTGATGAGAAACTGGGCTCGCGAAAGAAATTATAAAACAATTTTTTAAATTAGCAACAAAAATTGTCGTTACTTATTGTAAAATTAAATTATAATCTATTAATCTAATTTAATTATAAAATATAATAATATTTCAAATCTACAAAGAGAAAAAACAATTGAAATAGGTAAAAAAATGTCTTGTGTTAATACAGAACTGCAAAACGTTTGCTCGTTGGTACATTGAAAACTAGCATAATTTATCATATACACATTAGTTGTTTCTCTGTTCGTAAATTTGTCTATCCTTGAACTTCTACTATCCTAAATCCATATTCTCTGATCTATTTATTCCCACCTGTCACGTTACTGGAATCGTGATCTGCATGCTCTCGTAGAAACAATACGCTTTTCTGCACTAAAAAAAAAATAAAAATTTTTAATCCATTTGACGTGACAATAAAGAATTAATGTTTCGGCATTTTTTTTCTTTTCTTCCCCCTCCTATTTTTTTTTCTCTTTCCCTATTACTTTTCCTTCCTCTAGGATCTGACGTACGCCGAGGGCGGTCACAATTGGCGAAGCATAGTTTTTTCTCTTCTTGTCATCGGCTTCGTTATCGCCGGGATCGTCACGGCTATTTACCTTCTGGGGTAAGTTATCCTCGATTCTTATTATTATTATTATTATTTCATTTTTTATTTTACCATTGTAAAATAGATACAAAGTAAACAAAAATTCATTTAAGGGGTTGCTCTCTAGTCGAACTTTATCAAAATAATGATACTTTCGTTTATTGTTTTTTTTTTGTAAATGAAAACAACGAGTCACGGTTTGAAATTTTTGATTTTGATTTATTGTTACACTTTTAGCTAATAGAAAATAATTTTTTGTTTGAACAAAAATAGTTAAGAAACCTCCCAATTACTCGCGTATATGATTTTTCCAATTGTATTGATCTGAAATATAAAATTCGACAAAATTCTTACTTTCCATGATTACTTGATAGATTCGTATAGAAAAATTATGTTAAAAATTAAAAATGATTGTTCGCGCTCGAAGTTGAATCTTTTACCACTATTTAAAATCAACTATTCCATATAAGAAACAATAACCCCCCCCCCCCATTAACTTAAAAATATAAAAGAAACAAAACTATCATTCGATCTTATATGTATATTACTTTCGTTACATATAAAACTTCTCTTGAAGTCACATCATTACAAGTTCTAAAACTTTTCGAATGAAATTAAACAAAAGTTATCAAAGCGTATGACATAAACCACGTTTAATAAGAAACAAAAAATTACAGGTACGTTGATGAGCTTCTTTATTGGAGTGGAAGGCGTCTTACGCTGGACGAGTGCCTTCGTGATGACCTGACACCTCATAGGTTACCACCAGCTTGGGTATCCCATGACAAATTCGTCTACCAAGCGGATGATGGTTCACTCACTCTCCTAGACACCAGTAACAACACTGTGTCCCTTTTGGTCTCTAATCACACGCTCGTACGTATACATATATATACATAGATTTAACAAACTCGACGCACAATTCTACTCTCCTACTTTGACAAACGAAAGAGAAAGAGGAAGAGAACGGCAAGGGGGAGATGGAGAAGGGGTTTAGAGAGAGATTCATGAAACTAACGACCCTTAACAACAATGTACGCTTTACCTGTTAGCTAGTTGTGGACACAAAGGATTGTTAAAGCACCAAGTCAAATGTCTAGTAATTCGAATAATTTCTAATTATTAAAGGAGTTTTTGGGAAAATGATCGTAATGTTTCTTGGAATTATACTATTTATTATAGATGCTTGTTTTTTTTTTTTTTTTTTTATGTAAATTTATATATCCTCCCCCGAACTACGAGCAAACACAGTAAGCATTTCGTCGATAATGTTACTGGTTTAAGCGCCATCTATCAGTAGGAAATACTTTTTTAACATATTCATACGTTTTGTAGTTTCTTCTTACATTTATGTATGAGTATGTTTACTATCGCGAACGAATTGTATAAGCTTTAAAGCTTTTTATTTATAGGTTGTACCACAGCGAGATATATTATTTACAAATAATAGAGCATTGTCTTGGTCCAAAATCGATACTCAATATTCGTATAAATAGTTGTATATATCAGCTCAGGAACCATTTTCTTGCGGTAATGGTTCCGAGAAAGGAAAAGGGAAAGTCATAAATTTGTTCGATAGATTGTTTAGGAAGATAAATGATTCGAAATAATTTTTACAAAATAATTTCAGTTTAAATAATTTTTTTAAATGCTTCTCTTTTATTATTAATTGTTTTTATTTTGCTTCAATTTTTTTGCTGTGAATTTATTTTTTAGACCAGTTTTGAAAGTAGATTCTTACATTTCTATCTGAAGAAAATGTGGCCTAATTAGTTAACTCTGGGATTATCAATGCCTCATTTTTCATTAAGAAAACGAAATTACTTTTCGGACAATTTAAATGTATCTTTTATTTTCGCGAAAAAGTATTATTGGAAATTTGAAACTTGTATTTGGAAAATTCTATGCGTGTAAATTGTATACTGCAAATATGGATTTAATTTAGGTTGGATATAATTTTTTATTTAGAAAACAAAAGGTTAGGGATAAGACGAAGTATGATAATATGGGAGAGAAAATGATAATTCAATTTAGAATTATGTGATTATTAGCTATTATATTTAGATTATTTACTAAAGTTATATGAGAAAAAGTAATAGAATCAATAATTATGCAAGAGTTTACGAAATGAAGGGATATTCAAGTAGTGAAGTGTCGTAATCTCGAATATTTTCGGAATAAGTAGATTTTGTAATATACTCTGATATTTAAACATAAGTTCGACTGGATAAAAGACACTTCTGGGTTTGTTGTACAATCATTAAATAGCTATACCAATGGTATCGCAGATAAACCAATCAGTGATTTTGTATGTACGCAAGGAATATGTTCAAACTTTACCATGAACTTCTAATTAATTACGTAAGAAACTTTTGTTCTAGTTAACCGATAGCTTCATGAATATAAGAAAAGCTTTCTACCAATTTTCGTAATACAATTCTCGACGTAAGAATTAACGGATTTGATATTTCTGATAATGTGATCCCTCAATTAAATATTTTTTGCTAAAATCTTATTCATTATTTAATTAAATTTAAATATATAAGTGAAAGTAGAAAAAAAAACGTTTTCGTTGAATTTATAATGTATTATGAAAATTAGGCATTTTAGAAATTGTTCGGAAAGTGAATTTATATACGACCCTTTTAATACAAATTATAAAAAATAATTCCTCCCTAAAGATTCAAAATCAAAAATAAATGAATAAAATAGCTATTAATGGTTTGTGAACAAAAGTAGCGCATTCTTTTTTTTCTACTTGGTACGCATGAATGTGCATATTGCATTATTGTATTATATTATTTTAATGGAAAGTTAATGTACCATTTTTTTACATTACTGGAAGTAAAATCGTAAAACTTTTTTTTCCCCATTTATATTTAAATATATCTTATAATATAAATAATAGTAATGTAAAATAAATCATATCTAATTTTTGCAATTTTCTTACTTACAATTAGTGTCATAATCACCGTTATACTTAAAAGTTAGGATTATTTGTGCACCAATTTAATTAATGAAAATAACGAAACGATTAAAATATCAAAAATGGGTCATGATATTATCCTCTTTCTTTATACTTCATTAATCTTTTTTAAATTCTATACGATTTCTTTCAATCATGATCGAGCAAATAAAATTTTCAGTCATTTATTCCATTGTATGTTATTCAGACTTTACTGGATAAAATTTAAAAAACTAAAATGAATGGAAAAATAGATTTCCTCTTTGTCTTTATCTTTCTCTTTATCTTTCTCTTTATCTTTCTTTTTATCTTTCTCTTTATCTTTCTATTTCTCTTTCTTTTGTTTTAAATAAAAAATATATAGACCGCGTTTACCATTCTTAAATCTTTGGAATCTTTCTTTTGGTGATACTTTGTCCATTGACGAAGAAGCAAAAGCACGGCCCGCGGCTAGTAATAAAATAAAAAGTTAGGCCGTTTATAAGGCGGAATTCAAGGCATTCCGTAGTTTATCCAGTGACGTGGGATACTCGTAGAGTTTGCGAGAAGAGCTTGGCTATTGCATTTTCTGCTTGATGGCACGATCCCCGCTTCGGGCTTGCTCCTGAGAATAATGGATGTTATGAAAGAAAAGAAAAAAGTATAAGGGAGAAGAAGATGAATAGAGTAAAAAATAGAATGAAAGAGGGAAAAATATATATATAGTAGATGGACGCTTTGGAATGCAGAAAATTGGGACAATTTGCACGTGTATTTATTACTAATTAATTTATTTCGAATTAATAGATAAACGATATTTTACTGATTTGTTTAATTTAAAGTCTACGAATTCACGAATTTAATTTCCTTTTTCTCTTCTTCTTTTTAAAGTAAATTAAATAAATACGGTACGCATTATGATAGAACGAACACATTGGAATGCAGAAAATTGGGATAATTTGTGCGTGTATTTATTACTAATTAATTTATTTCGAATGAATAGATAAACGATATTTTACTGATTTGTTTAATTCAAAGTCTACGAGTTCACGAATTTAATTTCCTTTTTCTCTTTTTCTTATATATACGAAGTATTTTCATTGTATTCTGCGTTCGATGTTTATCTTTTTTATATTTTACTATATTATATTATTAACAATATTGTTTTATTATTATTTTTATTTAAAAATTATTTTATTTTACATTTTATTAATTATTGATACCGGTACAAAATTAACTATTATTTGTGTTCAAAATTTAAAAAAAATCAATTCTATATTCAAAATTGATTATTTGACCGATTGCATATATAAATTGATATAACAAAACAATTTTGGTAAATTATTTATTGAAACAAATTCTTTGCAAATTGAAGAAAATATTTTATCAATATATCTTTGAAATTTGTATCTTCAATTCGAAAGCTATTTTACTTTTCTTTCATGTTTTTATCGAAATAGTAAAAGATCAAACGTTGGTTATATCGTATGTAAGATAGTAGTTCAGGCACATTTTTGGATAACGTGTGAAAACTAAAGCTTTCTATAGATGTATGAAAAATATACATAGATGAAAGATTCCGAATAGGATAGAAAGATGATTGATATCGACTTGTCGCAATGTGTGTGTATGCGTTTGGCGAGAAAAGCCGCCTCAAGTGGATTGATTCCGAATCCACCATTCCATCTTCTCTTTCAACTGGCAGACAGAGTACAGACAAGAGTATACAACACCACGCATTGATCCGATCTCCTCTTCGTTCGAACGGGATATGACGTAGTATAGCATCCATACGCCCTTTTAAAAACAATGGCGGCTTAGATGCGCCATTTTAAGTAAACCACACTCGTTCGAATAAAAAGAATCGATTTTTTTTTAATAGCTTTTTTTTTTATAAAAACAAAAGTAGGAGAGCAATGTGCGTACAGGTTTTCACGTATTCATATTAAATGTGTTTAATATGAACTTATAACTAAATGCAATTGGCATGAATTTTTTATGTAATATTAATTGACCGATAAGATAATATTTATAATAAAAATTAATCCTTTGCAGTTTTCGTACATTTTTTGGTAGTTGTTTTTTTTTTTTAATTAAAGAAGATAAAGAAAAATGTATAATTTTTCTAAATAATTTCTATTTTTATTAGATATTTATTAAAAAAGTATGTATCCATAAACACGATCATTAATAAATTCATGATTTAACTGAAATATATTTATATTTATTAGCAAAACTGAAAATATGAATAATTTTGTACGAGCAACGTTAGTAATTGAGAAGTGCAAAGGATAAATCCAAAGGATCTGTCAATTGTTTTCTTTAATTTTTTATAAATGAAATCTTTTAGAGGCAGCTGAACGTCCAAGGCTACCAATGCAGCTCAGATTTGCGTTACGTATTGTTCAAGCACAATGTCAAGCCGGTAAGTAGCTTAAATCCCTAAAAACTTCTTGATATCTGTCAATCTGTACGAACATAATATTCTTTTATAGTTTCGATTACGTACAACATTTAATACATACATGTTGTTTGCACACACACGAATAATGCGATCCAATGCTCAAGTGCATATTTACATATTGATATTTGACTATTGATACTATTTACTATACGGTCCAGTTGTGAATCGTAGATATATATATGTTACCGAGATTCTATCTATAGTATCTACTCTTTCAAGTGAAAAGTACTATTTCAATAGATCTAGATATTGACTCCACTTTGTTTCTATTTCAGGTATTCAAAAACACCTTCACCGCTCACTACACAGTCTACGACGTTACGAACGAGTAAGACAATTTTTATGTTATTACAATTGATGCATTTGAAAATTCTTTGAAATTATTTTTTTTCTCAATAACATTTATGTTTACATGAATTTTTAAAAATTATTTTTATTAATGCAATTTATTTGTTCAGAAAAATTGTTTTATATATCATCTTTCGTTATTATAATTTATACCAGTACTAATTTATTTTAATAATATTTTCATTATTACAACTTATGTTTATAATAAAATGTTGATAAATTAAAAACTAATTGTTATAAAGATATTTTATTGTATTACGAATTCGAGCGATTTACACGAATCTGTTCTGAATATTTTCACGAAAAGTTGGTTTTAAAATTGAAGTTAAATATGATGAATTAAGAAAGATTCTAAATTGGTCTAATCATTTATCATATAAGTAACTTCGTTTTGTTCTAATCAGGAAATAAGAAGTTTCACATCGGCTTGGTGCTTTAACCCTCTACCGGTAAATTGATTTAATGTGCCGCATTAACCTATTAATAGTATTTAATCTATCGGTTAGTATCGAAGAAAGTAGGCCACAGTCAACATTGTTCGATGCATATGGACTGTGACGATCGATCTAAAAGTTTGTCAATAAACTCTCAGTAGAATGGAAAGTACCTAAGCGCTAAAATGTGTTCAACGTATCGGGCAAATTATTAAGTTCGTCACGAGTTTTCCTACATTACTTTTACTTCTACGAAATTTCTACGATACAACTTTAACACTAAACGTTGCAACGACCGATCAAAATGACCGATTTTTAATTTTCAACTTAAATTTCTTATACAATGTTACTACTTTTCTGTAATGGACGTTTTACTTTTCCATTATAATTTTAACTAATTAGTTGTAATTAATAATGTATACTCGTTATGGAGAAATAATAATAATTTATGTAATACGAAGAATGCATATTAATGTCATGCGAAGAAAATAATTAACATTTGGTATTTAAATTACAATTTTTGTAGAAACTAAAATATATATCTGTACATTATAAGATTAAAGTACTTACAGACAAAGACGGAATTAACGAATGAAAATATAAATTATTATTATGGAAAAGTTTATATCGTGTGAGTAGAATAGAACAAATTTGGCCAACTAAACTTAACACTATAGCTCTAACACTCTAATCTGGAAACATTTTTCAGATTATATACAAAGCATATCTTTAAAAAAATTTTAAACAAATATTTTATTTATTACTTATTATCTAATTAAATTCTGTTATAACATTTCAATTGTTAAAAATATATTTTTTTTTTACAAATCAATAATATTTACTATTAAATGTATCACCACTGATCAAATAACCGGTTTTAAATTCTGAATGAAATTTTTACATTACATATTATTGCTTCTTTCTATATACTTTTATTATTATCTAAAATTCATAAAATTTATTATTTAAACAAAATAATTATTATCTTTATTTATTTATAAAAAACAGTATAACTTTTTTTTAATAATCAGTAATTTTATCTCTTACGATATAAACGTGTAGAAACTTTTCGTAAATTTAGTGTTCAAATATCTTGCAAATAAAAATAAGATATTTCTGTAACAATAAATTTGAAATAAAAATAACGATAAAATATCTTGAACCAAAATTTTCACTCAAGATATTATTACTTTCCATCAGCCATCATACACCCCTTCGTCTCCATGCCTCGAGAAGGGTACAACCGTCGAGACTTCAGCACGCTACTTGGTTGGGTAATACAACGGGTCTCGTGATGATCTCGGACAACGATATTTATCTTAGGATAGCTCCATCAGCGATGGAAGATACACGACTGACGGATACGGGTGTTCCTGACGTTATATATAATGGTGTACCTGATTGGTTATATCAAGAAGAAGTGTTGCCTAGACCAGAAGCAACGTGGCCGAGTCCTGATGGCACGCATATCCTTTTTGCTTCGTTCAACGACACCAAAGTAATAATCAAATTTATTATTCCCGTAAGCTCACAGTGCACCCTACCATATAGAAATTAAAAATTTAAACTTTTATTGATAATAAATGATCGTAAAAACAAGACAAAAAATATTTATTATTGTTATATTATTATTTTTAATATAAATAATCTTTGCCATTAAAAAGAATTTATTTCAAAATATTTTTTTTTTACATTTAAACATGAAATAAATATTTCGATAGACAGAACATCGTTCTACTATTCGCATTAATTTAATCAAAATTTCACATTATTGTAATTAATTTAACAACAAGATTGCACGAGAATTTGATTAATATTCATTGAAATTATTTCAAGAGTTGAAAAACCTTGGAAATGTTCAAGTAGAAAAATGTGGTGCTCTGGACTCATGTCAATTATTATTCTTTGATGTTTACATCATTAAAATATTCTAATCATTAGGCCATCGAATGCGATGCATATATATTAATATGAAATACAATTTTGTAAGGTTACAGCCTTGCAATTCCCTTGGTTTGGTACTCAATCAGGTCAAGAAGGATCTGCGTCAACTCCACTCGGAGCACCTCGACGTGCCACCTTTCCACCATATAAATCCATAAGATACCCAACCCCTGGTTCATCCAATCCCGAAGTCGATTTGTGGTTAGTAGAAGTGAACAACACAAGTAATTCGACTAATGGAACTACTAGTCCGCCGGCTTGCACGAAGACTAAACTTGAGCCACCACCTGTCTTGGATGGACAGTAAGTCATATTCCTTTAAATATTGTTATATAAAATCGATAAAAAATCAAAAATGAGTTTAAAGAATACAAATAAAAGATAAGAAAAATATTCGACGTTTCTTTTGTTAATCGTCAAAATATTTTCGAATTATTCTCTGTTAAGAGTTTCCATTTTCCAGAGAATACTATCTGATATCGGCCGGATGGGTTGGTGTTGACGCGTCTCAAATTGCAGTGGTCTGGATGACCAGATCTCAAAATCTGTCACTAGTTTCGGCGTGTCGTGCACCTCTCTGGAAGTGCGAGGAAACCCATTCGGAGAGGGCACCGGAGGGTCAATGGTTGGACGCCCAACCGCATCCAATTTTCGCTCCAGACGGTGATAGTTTCCTGCTGCTTGCGACTGTCCAGGAAGGTGACAAGGAACATTTCACGCACATAAAGCACGTTACGTTAACGCAGCAGAGGATAGCTGTTTTATCCCATGGTCGTTACGAGGTTAGCAATACAAGATTACGATATTTTAACGTGATTCTTCAATCGATTAGATATATATGAACAAAAAAATTCAATATATTCGAATAGCGGATAAAAAAGATTTTCGTTTCCAACAACAAATTACCAAAGATTAGATTTAATTATTAAAGTTGGCACAACGAAAGTCCCTCTATGTGTGTAGAATCGTGAAATGATTTTGCAATCAGGTGAGCGAGATCCTAGCGTGGGACACCAAAGCTCACCTGGTATACTATCTGGGTACCAGGGAACGAAGACCTGGACAAAGGCATCTTTACGTGGTACGAGATCCAACTGCCGATGATCCTCGTCGTTTGGAGCCTTTATGCGTTACTTGTGACCTTGGTGAGGTTCTCTGGAGTAGTAGGTAAGAAAAATTTATATTACGATAACGATTTGGTATGCTTTAACGATTATCAATTTAAAATGTATCTATTTGAATAAAAATAGAAAATAAATTTCTCTTACAGATTTTATTACACAAATTGCACTCACTTCGGTGCCTCCGTAAGTCCTGCGAAAACCGTCGACACACAGGGTTACTATGTGCTTTATTGCGAAGGTCCTGGCTTGCCGTTAGCCGCTGTGCACATGATGTCATCTCATAAAATGATACGCGTACTCTATGACACGCGTATTCAACGTGCCGATAAACTTTCGCAGCTGGCGTTGCCGACGAGAAGGAGTTTCGAGGTAATCCAAACAAATAAAAATCAATAGAAATCTTTGATAAGCAATTTAACGATCGTTATCCTTAATTGTAAAAAAATGTCGCAGGTGCCGTTGCCTCAAGGTTGGAAGGCGCAGGTGCAGTTGCTCCTGCCACCTTCCTGGCGTGAGGAATTGAGAGACGCAGCATTTCCAGTATTGGTCGAGGTCAATGGTCGGCCTGGAAGTGAAGCAGTAACTGATAGATTTAAAATAGACTGGGGTACATATATGTCGAGTCACAACGATGTGGTTTACGTTAGACTCGATGTTCGTGGTGCGAGGGGACAGGGGAAAAAGGATCTTTTCCGTAAAATCGGAGGTGTTGAGGTTCAAGATCAGCTGACGGTTCTTAGGCATCTTTTAAAGACGCACAAATATTTGGACGACACCAGAGTTGGTGTTTGGGGATGGGGTTACGGTGGTTACGTTACTGCCATGGTATTAGGAAGTCAAGAAAATGTCTTCAAATGTGGTGTCGCCGTCAATCCAATTGCCGATTGGCTCTATTACAGTAAGACGTTCTCCTATCTTATTTTTTTGCTCTTCAACATTTTGAATACTGAATTGAAATTTGAATATTAGTTTGAACATTAGTATAAGCTATGTTAATATATCAAACTTGAATAACATGAGGAAGTTATTTTTGAGCATAAATTATTTTATTTAAAACGTTAAGATTTTTTAAACATATGATACCTTAACTTTGCAGTAAAAACAACTTTTACATATATTTATAAATAAAATATTATACATTTTCTATATATATATACATTGATAATATAATAATTATTCCATTATTTTATACAAAATTATAACAATCTATTTCAAATCTACTAAAATTTATAATTCATTTATGTATGATAAGACTGAAAACAATAATCAATTTAAAAGCTGACATCATACTCTTTGCATTAATTTCTTTTCTGTTTCGTACAAACAACGTACTTTTAAATTCACATATTAATTACGTAAACTGACAATTATGACTATAATTTGTGAGAGATCGAAGAAAACAAAAAAGTAATAAACGCTTAAATGCGCCCATTGCATTGCAACGTAATTAAGAAGATAAAAAAAAACAAGTGATTTTATTTGACTTTTAGATTCGGCCTTTACGGAGCGAGTTCTCGGTGCACCAGCTGAGAACTATAAGGGTTACGTAGAGGCTGATTTGACTCAAAGAGCGAGATTAGTGCCGAGTCATAGTCTTTATCTTCTTCATGGTCTAGCAGACCTAACAGCGCCTTATACGCATGGCGTTGCCTTTGCCAAGGCTTTGTCTGAAGCGGGAGTCATCTTTAGGTACCAGGTGAGTTAACAAAATCTTTTATTCATTCTAATATTTAACACGTTGACTGCTGTGTAGGTCACCGGTGACCTCAACACAACCAATAGTAAAAATACATAATTAAAATAAAGATCGATACTGATAAATTTTTAAATAATACCATTGTTTTTATAAGGGCTTGAAGAAAATAATGACATATAGAACATGCAAAAATAATTTTATAATTACAAGGAAAATATACATTACATGTAACGACGTTTTTTCTCGTACGTAATTGCTTAATAAAATGTAATCTTCATCATCAGAATTAAATATATTGCTAACTTTATCCTAAGATTAGGAATTAAAATATTTTTTAAGTTACTTGTTTGTATAACATCATTTAATTTACAACACAAGTAATCAGTAAAAGTTCTATTACCAATTTCCTATAACATTTTATATAGTTTTTCGCAGTGGTGAACTATAAGCAGTCATTTGTTCAGACAAATCAAATACAGATTTCCATAAATTCTAATCTACTACCATTTTTGAACAGTTAGAAACACCTGATAATCACAAAAATGGTCTACAGCGCCTCGAGGGGTCACAGGTGACCTCACCGCAAATAATGCATTAAACACAATTATACAAATCCCTTTATCTGGTATAAAAAAAAAATTTCAACAAAATATGCATCCCATAAAAATAAATTCATGTAGACGCCACAGGCAAATCACGTGAAATGCTGCGCTCGGCAGTCAACGTGTTAATTTATTTTGTTCACCTATAAAAAAATGGTCTTTGCATTAATTATTTTATCTTTTTGTGTGTGTGTGTGTAATAAAATAGAGTTATGCGGACGAGGATCACGCTTTAACAGGTGTGCTCGAACACGCTTATCGTTCTATGGAGGACTTTCTCGCCGAGTGCCTCGCCTTGGATGCCTCCTAGTGCCTCAAGCCGAATACTCCCTTGTTGTCGTTAGTGCGCCTACTTCTAATAAATCCAAGGATAAACATTAAAATGCGATCAACCTGGCGATTAGAAGATGATCGTGCTGAAGAAAGAAGCTTCGAAAGCTCGCGAACGTACAACGGTTTATCGTTCGAAAATAATAATAATAATAATAATAATAATAGTAATAATAATAAAATTAATAATAATAATAATAATAATAATAATAATAATAATAATAATAATGAGAATAAGAATAAAATGATTGAAGAGATTATTTGTTTTTCTGTATGTTTAAAAAATGATATTATTATGAGAAACGAAAAGAGAGAGAGTATGCGAGTATATATGCGTGTGCGAAAGCGTGCTCGAAAGATAAACGAGAAACGGTGAGAGTATCCGTGTTAAATAGTGTATTCACAAATAAGAAATCGTTTACAGAGGATAGGAATAAAATAGTTTCTATAGATATAGGAATTAAATTAAAATAACAAGTTATAGTTAAAAGTGTGAGATTTAGAAAAATGGATTACAACGCGATCGTATATGTCGATATTGATATTATGATCGATCTTTTAATCGGTATCTTCTGAAAGTTTTCTCTATAACAATAAGTCGTGGTGGTTATGTGATCCATGAATATCTCGAGGAAAAATAATATTATAATGTCGATATAGTAGAGGGATGTTTAAACGTATTATTACGAAATTAACTATATAATGATTTTTCTTAATCATTTGATATTTCATATATTTTTATAGTCGATTCAATCGCTCTCGCAAAGTATTCCGTTATGTCGTAGATGTTGTTTGTTATACGACGTTACGCATGTGGTAAAGAACGAAATAAAATTTATATATACAGGGTGGCCTGTAATTTGTGATATAAACGAGTAAAACATGTGATTATATATAAAAAGAATTATGTCGAAAATTGAAAATAAAATTTGTTCATGCGAAACAAGTTTGAAAATTTGTCGAATATGCGTGCAATTGACTGACCTTAGAAAATAGAACCGATACAAGAGGTATCGTCATACTGACAATGTATTTAAACATATTAAAATGCATAAAACTGAAATTGAATTGAGTGGACGCGTACTCGATAAATTTTCAAACCAATTTTTCTCGTAAAACAAAAAGCCTCTTACAAACAAATTATATTCTACATTTTTGACTTACTTTTTCATGTAAAATCACTCCCTGCTCGTTTGTACCATCAGTTACAAGACATCCTGTGTATTTGTATATACAGTAGGATCTTAATTACACAACGTGATCGAGGGACAAATAATGCGGATAATCGAGATTAGAATTAGAATATTGAAAAAAAAAACGTTTCTTATATGCAAAATAAGATTTTTTGTTGTTGCTTGCTTTTATTAAAAATATATACTTATGCATATATTGTGTTGAATACATCGTCTAAGTTCAGTCAAAAATTAGTAACTAATATTTATGCTAATGTTATGTGAGTTATTACTTGTCAAATAAATTTTTAATAGGAAAAATCGAGTTTGAGATAAGTATGCTTTTTGTGAGTACTTTCACAGACAACTATCGATATCTTTTATGGAGTAATGATTAGTAATATTCTCATTAATAATAAATGAATATATGGTTAGTGACTTTTTGCTGAACATAAACGATATATTACAAAATAGAAAAAATTATATGTTCTTATATTGTTATCTACTTTATTAATTTTACCCTTAAAAGTTCTTTTTTATTATGTAAACTTTTCATCTTTATTAAAATCTTCTTTTGTTACATCGTCACGTTAGTTTAACATAAGTATTGTAGAATACGTTTTAAAATCGTAACTCTATTCTTATGATTTATTTTTTCATTTTTCACTGTATTTTCTTTCATTCTCTTAATGTAGACTTTTTAAAATTAAACTCAACGGTAATTGAATTTATTTTTCGTAATGTTTTAACTTTTTATTTTACTAAAATTACAACTTTTTTCCTCTTAACAAATACTGCGTTGTAAATAATACTGCAGTAACAGTAAACACTATCAAAAGTAATAAAAAGTAAATGAATACTGAGAAAAATATTTAGAAGAAACATGAATTTATCTCGACACGACTTCAACATCTGTTAACATATTGCGAACTGGGTTCTGGTTGTCAAATATGTTTCAGAATCCCGCAAATTTTTTAGCACGTCTAAAATCTTATTGTTGGATGATTCCTCCTAATCAGATGGGATTTAAAAATAGGGTGGGGATTATAGATAACATATATATGTTGAACTATGTCATGAATAGGCTGGTAACAGAATGTATTATATATTTAATATTATTGAATTGAATAAAAAATTATTTTTAATTCGTTAATACGTGCGTATAAAAGTAACAACAACATGAAATATATCACAACCCAGCCTCAAAGTACGGTTTATTATATATATACAAGAATTCTTTTAAACCGTACGCAATGTGTTAACAAACAAAATACAACGGATAATCAAAACTTCGATTAAATCGAGGTCCTACTGTATATGTGTTTGTATGAATATGTATATGTAGATACATTACGTAAAAGAAAACAACGTTGAAAGCTGTTTGACATTTTGTAACATATCCAAAATTGTTTCTCGTAAATGCCAACACTGTAAAATACGCTCTTGCTACATGCATATATCCGTGTTATTCAATGTACTATACTTATTACTATACTTATTTTCTAGTAACGCAAAAATGTTAATTATTTTTTCCGCGGTAATCCATTTTTCTTGGTCGACGTATGAAAGAAAGAAAGAGAAACAAGATTGAGGTGCAATCGAAGAAGAAGAAGAAAAAAAAAAGGAAAAAAAATATCGCATCTCTACGAGCAATATCGTTAAAATAATGTTATTATATCACACGCCTGCATCAGCCTACGAAAATTCTTCTTTGCTACGAGAAACGAACTCTAAATGAATGATAAAGATAAAGAAGAAGAAGAAGAGAAGAGGAAGAAGAAAAATAAAAATAAAAAAAAGAAATACTTTAACGCGTACGTCGTTCGATTATTATTATTTCTGGACGCGAGCGCGTAATCATCATAGTTTGAAAATAAAAAAAAAATAAATTAAACAACGGAAATATGTATTATAAAAGTGAACAAAAATTGTGATTACGTCGTGGTGCGTTGTATCAGGAAAACGCTCTAATAAATTTTAAATGAGATATTTCCAGAGAGCCTTGCGAGGCAAAAAAAGATTAATAGAAAATAATTTTATGAATCTAACGAACGTACGTCTTGAATTGAATGAGAATTATTTAGAATGCAAAAAGAAAAGTGAAAAGGAAAGAGAATGGAGAGGTGAAACAAAGAGAGACAAAGGAAATAAATTAATTATTCGAAAGAAAAAAGAAAAAAAATAATACACACCACACACATATAAGAAAACGTAGCATTGGGAAAAAGTAAGAGAGAGAGAGAGAGCTTATCGAAGAATTTTTACAAAAATTACGGAAAAGAAAAAAACAAAACAAAAAAAATAAGAACAAAAAAAGAAAAGAAAAGAAAAGGATAAACAACGGTTTTAAGTCTTTTTCCCTTCATTTAATTCCCTCATTTTTCCTGATTATGCGTTACTGGTGCCTTCTAGACTCGAAGTGGTTGAACGTAAAAAAGTCATTATTAAGGTAATTCGGTGACGTTAATCTGAAATATTCATTGTTATATTAATAAATAAACAAATAAATGAATAAATAAATAAATAAATAAATAAACAAAGAAAATTTTATAGTAAAAAGATAAATAAGAAATGAAAAAAAAAGAAAGAAAAATAATAAAAAATAATCGAATGGTTTTCCCTTTGAGTTTCTTCCGTCAAGCACAGCTTTCGCGCGCCTAGTGTTGTGTGCATACGTGTTGTGTGCATACGTGTTGTGTAATGTGTATGTGTGTGTACGTGCATATACGCGCGTTTGTTTTAAAAGTCGCGTTACCATGAAATTCCCCCTTAACGAAAAAACATAAAAAAAGAAAAAAAATCTACTACCAACTTTAAGGTTCTTTATCATTAAATATTTATACATACTGCTATTAATATTAATAATAATTACTATACGCTGTTTATACACGTTAACATACCACACGCATTCATACACGTGCACACACACACACACACACACACACCACTACTACACACGCATACACAACCACACACGTGCCGGTGAAAAAAATTTTATCCTCCCTTGTAACGTGTGGCTCTATCTCTCGTCCTCGAAAAATCAAATCTTTTCCAGCCTGATAAAAAAAAAAATTCATTAAATGACAAATAATAAACAAGCGATCGAATAGTTGAGCTGATTTTTTTTTTTACATTGTATAAGTCCGATTTTGACAACAAAATAATATAAGGGAATATTTTTAGTCTTTAAGAAAATGTACATCTAAAAAGGGGTGCAAAGTACAACAATTTTCTCCCTCTTGGGAGGGGTGGATTGTTAACAACAAAATTGAATAACTGAAAATAAGTGAAAATTTGTTTGACAACAAATGGAGTTAAGACAATATAATAAAATATTCCTATGAAAACGTTAAAACAATTTTCAATATCAAATGGTAATACATAAGTGTTTTATTTTTGAAAATATTGTATTATGAAACATATCTTGTTCTTCTTTAATTATTTTATTAACCAATAAACTGTAGCAACTGAGTATACTTGTCAAAACTAGAGTATGTATTACTGTTGTAATATTGAATTTAATTCTAATCAAATGACTGTGTTATTCTTTTTTATAAAATTAATAATTTTATTATTGACATTTATTTATTTACTTAATTTAAACATATAATTTGCACATATGAAAGAAAAGAATAAAAAAAATCAATTACTTAAGAAAATGATTAGGTAGAAAGTTAATCTGCTGTTTATACAAGTTGCAATATATAATGACACTTCAAATGTTCTAATCATATGACATTGTCTAGTTTTTATGCATTTATTTCAAATTTGACAAAAATGTTACCTGTACAACTTTCCTTTTACGCCATTTAATTTAAAAAATAAATGCTAACTACTTTTTCTACATGACGAGTATACTCGTTGATTAAAGCTTTATGTTAGAACAAAATATTGCCTAAATTTATGAACATATATTAATATTTTGCAATCAGAATAAATGGACTTATACTATTAAATAAAAAAAAAAAGGCTCAATTATTTCATTCATTACATTCATTACATTCATCAACATTTTGGTCGGTAAAAACAAT